CCTTTAACATTGTTTTGTTATATTTGAGACCAGGTCTCCCATTAAGTTGCCCAGGCTGGCATCAGATTTTCAATTCTTCTTCTCCAGTCTGCCAACTAAGCAGCTGGGATTACAGTCACGCGGCACCTTGCCTGGCTCTATTTTATAGATGAACAAAGTGAAGAGCCAAGTGAGTAAGAAACTTGCCCGAGGTTATGCAGCAGGAAATGATGATGCTTGAGATCTTAATCTAAGAATCCACATCTCAGAACTGAGAGAAACTGGGAGTGGGCAGTTAGGGGACACCTACTGTGGTTAATTTTTTTTTAATTTGATGCTCATAGAAGTCAAATTCAGTTACCTACTAATTTTACTACTAAGATCCAGCTCATTTCTTATTAGAATTGGATGGTGAGGTTTTGCTGTAAGTAGTGTACATATAAATTGGCATAATTTTTGTAAGCTAAGTTGGTAGTGTGTATATATACTTTTAAATATAAATATCTTTTGATCAATTGCACTTACAGGATAGTATCGCATAGAAAATATGCATTTCTATAGAGATACATGTATGAGAATGTTCACTGTAGCACTTTTTATAATAGAGAAAAAAATGAAAACTATGTAAACAAAAGAATTGTTAAGTAAGAACGGCAATGTGATAGCCCCTAATCATCCAATCAAATCTGTCCATGGGAATGAACTTTAATCTGGGTATATAGTCAGCTGTTCAGTGAGCAGCTATCTTCCCAGCTGCCCTTGCTGCTGGTTATGACCATGTGAACACCCAGCATTCACGTAGTTTGAGCTAAAAGAATGTACACTGTCACCCTCCCTACCTCTAGCAGGAACCCAGATCTGCCCATGATCCAGCTTTGACCCTGTAGCAAGTCTAACAACTCAGGGCATAGCAAAACGACAAGAGGGAAAAAAACAGGGTCCTGAATACTTGCATGCAGCAGAGTCAGCCAGTGTTTGCATAGCTCACTTTTGAATTGTTAACTTGAGAATGAAATACGCTTCTCTCTCATTACTATGCTATTGTATTCATGTTCTTTACATCACAAGTCAGATCGTATCTTACCTAATGTAGGAAAGCTGCAGAATACTTTAAAAGACATACTAATATATAGAAGTCGGTAATACATATAAAAAAAAGATGCTGTGACAAAATGAGTTTATTCCAGCATTCAGAAATAAGGAACCCAGAATAAAGGGCTTATTTGCATATATCAAAAACTATTAAATAAATTAAATGACAGCACACTTTTTTTCAGTACATATCCAAAGCACACTTGATAAATGTCAACACACATCTTGAAACTTGGAAGAGAAAATTATTTCTTTGAAAAATATATAAAATAATACAATAAATTTATATTTTATAAATTTTACAGCTTATTACATATTTTCTATTTCATACTATGATATAAATATAAAATAAGATAATGCAAATTTAAGTAATGTATTTACTTAATAAGACATTTGATTCCAGCGAGGAAACCACAATTATTCAATTTAAAAAAGAAACAAGGGGCAAGGGATTTGGCTCAGTGATTCTGCCACCTGCCTTGCAAGCACAAGGGCCAGAGTTCAATCCCTGGTACCAACCCCCCAAAATATCTAAAAAAAACATAAACCAATGCTAGGCCAGGGATTTAGCTCAGTGGTTCTGGTGCCTGCTTCACAAGCACAAGGACCCGAGTTGGATTCCTGGTAGCAAAAAAAAAAGGGGGTGGTGAAGGCGTGTGTTCTCTTTATCACCATTACTCAATTACAGAATATTTCCAGAGTAATAAAAAATGTATATATATACATAGGTGCACACAGAGAAATGCACATACATGCACACAGAGACATACAATTAAGATAAATGGTGAATTGGATAGAATAAAAATTAAAGATAGTTTGATTATATATTTGAAACGTAAAGGTATTTGCAAAGTGCTCAAGAGACTCTGAAGTTGGACATCTGGGTTTCAGTCCTGGCTTCAGCGATTAAGAGCCACATGACCTTAACCTCCTTAAGCCTCAATTTCCTCTTGCATGAGGATAATAAGGCCACTTCCTAAAGTTATTGTGAGCACTAAGTCAAATACTGTCAAATGCCTAGCACAGTTTCTGGCACATGGTAATCACTCCCATTAGAAGTAAATGTTATCAATTATACATTTTGATCCTATAGAAAGAAAAGGTCTAAAGGGGTAGGGGAAAGGAAAGTTTATGAGAAGAGGAAAAAATGGAAACAAAGTCCCTGTAAATAGGGAGGGGTGGAGGGGTTGAAGGGAGGGCAGGGGAATGGGTAAAAAATAAGAACCAAGATACATCATGTAAGGGTACAAGTTCCCAATGATGACTGTAACTGTATTAGTTGCTTAAAATGTACCAATAAACTTTAATGGAAAAAAAAAAAGAAGTGAGTGTCAGAAGAAGATCGTATATATACATTGAAAGTAACGTTGTATGTTGAAGGTCATTTCATAAATGCAAATATCCTTACACGTTGACCCAGTAAATCTCAAGTCTGAGAACTTATTCAAGGGAGTAACTTAAAGGAAGAAAAGATTTTAGTACACAATTGTTTATAGTAGGATTGTTAATCATATTCAAAAGAAGTGTAAACATCTAAAATCTGCAACAATGGAGGTAGCCATGTGAAAGGAAATATGTACCCATTACATGATAAATATGGGACAAGTCAAAATACCTGGAATTAGTTATGAAATAAACAAAAAATGAGTGAAGAAAAGGAAGCTATGTCTATGCCATCCTGTCAACTTATGAAAAAATTATAAATGTGTGTAAATATTGGAAAGAAATAAAAATTGTTGCTTTTTCAGAATGTATGGGATCTTAAGTGAAATTTTAAGATAAAATCCTCCTAATGTTTAAAATCTGCTTTAATAAAGAAATTTTTAAAATTAAAAGCAGAAAATGTAATTTTTAAAGAAATACCTTTAAAAATGGCTACATATTTTGAAAAGTTCTTTTAAGAAAAATGTCAGGAATTTTGCTTCCGGGGAGCCTCTTGTTCATGTTGAATAGGGGCAGGGGTCACTACTGGGATCCACACCAGGGCTTCCTGGTGACACCCAGGACCTTCCACACAAGTCACAAGAAGAAGGCTTCTACCCCAACACCGGCCTTGTCAAGTAGGGCAGCACGAAGTGGGACAAGGATTTTTAAAGGCTGCTCTGTAAAAACCTGGGGTCTGCTGGGGTGTCAGTGCCAAAAGGGAAAGACACAGCATTCCAGGGGGTGCCCCCGAATCCCAGGAGCCCTGTTGACCCCTCCCCTCCACCCTGGCCTTCTCAGGATGAGTTTGTCTAAAATGTCAGACAGCTCAGAACTATCACCAAACTGCTTGCTAGGATGGCAAAACCATGAGACTCGGAGTCAGGAGCTATTTGAGCCTCACATCCCTCAGTTTTGAGACTCGAGCTTGAATCCCTGCCTGTGTTCGTTAGGAGTAGATCAAATCCATGGTACAAGAGGATTTCTACTCTGCAAACATGTTATGGGCTATTTATTTACTAAGATCACATTCAAAGAGGTAGGATAAAATGTTGAATGCTTTCATTATATGAGAGGCCTACAGAAGTACAACCCCTTGAGACAGAAAGTAGAAAGGGGTGTAAGCAGAGGCTGGGGGCAGGGGAGGAAAGGGGAGTTCATGTTCAGGGAATAAGGTGTAGAGTTTCAATGTGGGAAGATGAAAACGTCTGTGTGCGGATGGCAGTGATGGGTGAGCAACAGTGTGAATGTGATCAATGTTGCTAAACTGTATGCTTTAAAATGATTAAAATAGTAAATTTTATGCCATATATATATGTATATATATATTATATGGTAACGTATTTACCACAGGAAAAAATAAATAAAAGTAGGATATAGACAATGAAACACGGAGACAGAAGGAAAGGGGCGGACTGCAGAGATAGTGGGACTCAGTGCTTTAAGGCACAGATGTGATGAGGACAGGGGATGGCAGGTCAAGAGGGGAACATGGCATGGACACAGGCATAGAAGCGAGAGGTGAGGGGCCCCTGGAAGGAGGTCTGGGAGGACCCTCCTTCCCTGCGTCCACCTTATGGCACTGTGCATACAGTTGTAGATTGTTATGTACCCTGATCGCCCCTTGTACAATTTCATTCGTTTATTCAGTAGATACTTACGCAGGGTCTCCCAGTGCCAGGCACTGTTGTCATAAGCACTGAGTAACAAAGCTATTCACACCTGCATGCACACGTACTCGGGCTCCAACAAAGATCCTGGCCCTTGTTGGCTTCTATTCTAGGGTTGATAACAGCTGGTACCTGGACGACACCACTATGTGCTAGGCACAGTCCTAGGTACTTTCCTAACAGAGGTTATTTAATCCTTTAATGTTCCTGATAACTTCTGAGTTATAACTCTGGTGAGTCTCATTTTATGACCTGTATCTTATGCAGGCCACATGGCTGGCAAGGGGCACAGCCTGGATTTAAACCGTACAGGGTGGGGAATGCTGGGAGTAGGACCGACTACATCAGCCAATCTCTCCCCAGGCAGGTGGGGGCTGGGGTTGTTCACAGATTGGAGGGGGTTAGTGGAAAGCAAGAGGCTGAGTGGAAGGCACTAAGGGTCACCCAGCAGGGTGAGGCTGGGGTATGGACTTTGTGGTGACAGCACATTGGGATGTAAGAGATGGCTCTGGTGCCTAGAAAAGAGGAACTGGTCTGTTTGGGTGGCTTCCTGGGTGTGAGGGGAAAGGCAGTGCCAAAAGTTCAAGCCTGGGGCACTTTCCGGAACCACAGTTGCTAGCGAAGCCTGGGGTAGGGGGGCTGACAGGAAGGAGATGTGTCGAGGGTGCTCTGCCTGGGTGAAAGCATGATCAGCTGTACTCATTCATCCATGAATATTGTACGAGGGGCTGCTCTATGTCCAGCCCTGCCACCTCTGGGATGGACCCAGGTCTTCCGCCGGACGCACGCGCGTCTGCCCTCCATTACCTGGGGCAGATAACCTACTCGCCTACCTACCTTTCTCCTGCTCTGCTGCTTCACTCAGTTCAGGAAGCTTCAGGCCCACAAGGTTCTGGTTTCTCATTAGGATGTGCTCCTTTGTGCGAAAGAAAGAGGGAGACACAAACTTCAGACAGTAGCATTAGGCTGGGCTCTTCTCTTGTTTTCCTCCGTTTCTGTGACCACTCGGCATTAGGAAGGAAACGCCGGGGCTACAGCAAAGGCGGGTGGACGGGATGGTTGGCAGAGTTGGGCTCCTTCCCCAGCCAGTCACAGTGCCCACCATTGGTGCTGCAGTCCTTGGGTCATGGTCTGCTTTTTAAAGAAACCCATGGGCCTCAGGGAAAATGAACTGCTCGGCCACAGACAGCGGGAGAACAAACAGCTCCGAGGACAGACAGGTCCCTGGGGTGTACATGTGGCTGTTCCTGGGAACAGTCTTTGGCGATCTATCTCATGGCTGGCTGCAGCCTCTTGCCCTGCTATTCCAGGAAGGAAGGATCCACTTTCAGGAGTTGTGACTTCCCCCATCTCTCAGTTCCTCATTGGCCCTACGGCACCTCCAGACAGATGAAACCTGAGAACTGCTGCCTTGGGGACTCGGCAGGCAGAGCTGGAGAGAGGTGGGATGTGGTCTTCAGGTGTGTGGCACAGTTAGGCCCACACCTGCTCCCAGCTAGGTAGCGACGGGCCAGGGCCCTCGAGAGGGACGTGCGGTGGAGCTCAACACCCTTCAGGACTTGTGTTGTCAATGGATTTTCGGCCTCCTGGGTGCCGAAGGCCACTGGATAAAGAAGGATAGGAAGGGGCCAGCACAGGGTGCTCATGATCTAAATGGAAGTAACCACCACACTTCACCTGTATCCCTAGCAAGCCAGTGGCCCACAGCCCATCAGCTCTTGGCACACTGGGATGGGGTGCTGCCTGGGTGCTCAGCTGCCAGGGTAGTGGGTGGAGGGTAGTAACACAGGGCCTCCTGGTTCTCCAGAATTTTCTGTGCTGAGTAAGAGAAATGTGCAGGGATGTGGGGTATGGGGTTAGCTTGTTACCTAGACCTGGGGGCACATGAAGGCAAATCCCTGTCTGTCTGGCCCCTTTAGTCCCTCCTTCCCCCAGATGTAGGACTGGGCCCTCCCTGGGTAGCTCCCCCGGAACCTGTTCTGATTTGCTGGTTACTTAGGTCTCTCTGGCTAGGTAGGGCTTTCTGTGTAAAGCGTTCACTTCAGCAATCAGGGCTCAGATCCCACCGAGCCTCCGACTTAGAGCATCATGGGAAGATTTCTCAGTAGGACAGTGGCCAACATTGGACTGTGTCTGGTAGCACAGAAATACACAAATTGCACTTGTGCTGGAGTGTGATCAGGTTCCCTATTTCCTTCCTGCCCCACAGGGGAGGTTTGTCCAGCTCCAGGCCTCACCCTATGGAACCCCAGTTGCCTTGGCCTAGGTTGGACTTCCGGGGAAGGAAAGACCAGGTTGAGATTTCCTTGTCTTGTTAATTCTTCTCTCCCTCACACTGTGGTCCTACCCCCACACCTCTCTGGTTATCTCCAGTCACAGCTTGCATAGCATTGTAGCCTCGCACATGCCTACTTTGACCGCCAAGGGAAGTTGGAGACCCCACAGGCGTCAGAAGAAATTCACCATGGAGGGACCAGCCCCTTGACGTCATTGTCATACTTGTGCATGGATCCGAGGCCCTTGATTAACAGTCATCGGGAAGAAACGCTAGTGGCCATTAGAAGGGAAAACCTAGTTTATCCTGGCTTGGCCCTGTTCTAGGCATGACCAGGCACTCCATCAGGGTCCTGTCTGTGAGCAGCCAGCTCTGGATGGAGGAGTAAAGTGGCCCAGAATTGAGGGCCCATGTGCCTTTCCCCACGCTCATCTTCTCCTGAAATGTGTCTTTCTGCAGCAACTCTAGCCAACTGACTTCTGCCTCATGACAGGTATAAATGCACCTGAGACTAGAGCGATGAAGGAGCTGCCAAGAGCTGTCCTGGCTTCTCAGGTTGAGACATGTAGGGCTATGAGGCCAGAGCCACCCTGCCCCTGGGCCCAGTCTCGGTCCAGAGTCTTCAACCCAGTGGGGACCTGGTAGGCACACCTTGCCCAGCTGGCCCCTAGGAACTCACCTCACGGAGCTTGGTCAGTTTTTGCATCCGCACAGGCTGCACTTGAATCTGGAAGTCTTTAAGCCCTGGCACCTTGGCCAGCTTGCCACTGGCTTTGCCTGGGAAGCGCTTCTCCTCCTCTGCCACTGGCAGCTTAGCAAGCACTTTCTGTAACCGGGGACCCGGCTCTTCAGGGCCACTGTCCCAAGAGACTCCCCGCATCAAGGGCGGCCGGGACACAGGGGACTTCAGTTCGACTTTGGGGCCAACCTTGGATGCTGGGGCATCTCCAGTAGAGCCTTTTCCCTGGGAGCCTGGTGAGGCCACTCCTCCCAATCCCAGGGCTGGATTTCTCAGCAGAGGGTTGCCTTCCCTGGCCGTCTTTGGGAGCTGCCTTCCCAGCTCACTCTCAGCCGAGACAGGTGGGGGGCTGTTCAAGGCCATTTTCCCAATGATATTTGTGCCAGAAACTGGGCCCTTGGGTGTGGTCTCAGGGTGCTGGAGGGGATCGAAGTTTTCCTTTTGTTCTATTGCACGCTCTTTGGACTTCTCAACAGTGGGACAGCGAACAGCCAGCCTGCCCTGAGACACCTTCCTTTGGTCATTCTGCTTCCGGTCAGCTAGCCCTTTGGGGACATTCTGAAAGAGACAAGGTACAGCTGAGACCCTGGAGAGAGATGAGGAAGAGACACAACCTCTACCAGGCAGCCCCTGTGTGTATGTGTGCATGAGCAGAGAGAGGTAGACTGGGTAGACAGGGAAAGTCCCTCGGTCAAAGTGGACCCACATATAAGACAGGAGTTTACAAAACAGAGAGGACAAGGGACCTGCAACTCAAAACCAGCCAAGAACTGCCCAAGGAGGAGCACGATACAGGGCCTCGGTTACCCCGGATGCTGCCTGGCTGTGCTTGGCAGGGGTCTCAACTCCTAAGGACTCACATTTCCCACCAGGTTTGTGAATCCTCTGAATCCACTCAAATTTGCATGTCTGTTTGTGGATTTTAGAGGGACTATTTTCTCTGGGAAAAGAATCTATAGCTTTTGAGAACTGTTTGTTGTTGTTGTTGTTTATTTTCAAGGAAGAGATTTCATCTCTGAGCAGCTTTTTGGACTTCCATGATCCAAGAGAGGATAGGATCATTGGATGAGACGATTCCTGCAAAGGTGATTTGTCACTGCTGGAAGGTCCCAAGTTCTGTACTCTTACTCCTGCTGGGAAGCCTGCGTCGTGAGGTGCATGTGGCTCCATGTCTGGGGCTCTGGGTGCTGTCATGCGTAAGTGTTTGCGTTCTTCCAGAGACCTCTGTCCCAGACCCAGTTCCAGGTGAGCTTGTATTTTAAGGCTGCCCTCCACGCCACTTGGAGCACTTGGGCACCTTCCTCTGAGCAGGTTGGGACACTTCTATTGCTCATTCGCAAAGATCCTCCCCGGCAGAATTCCAGCTGGGGCTGGAGCTTTCCCGCAATGTCACCGGAGGTCCCCACCTCCGGCTAGCAGCCTGTGGTGAGCTTGTATTTTAAGGCTGCCCTCCACGCCACTTGGAGCACTTGGGCACCTTCCTCTGAGCAGGTTGGGACACTTCTATTGCTCATTCGCAAAGATCCTCCCCGGCAGAATTCCAGCTGGGGCTGGAGCTTTCCCGCAATGTCACCGGAGGTCCCCACCTCCGGCTACCGGGAGTGCGAGGGGGTGGGCATGACCTCTGTGGAGGTCGCACCCCCCGGGTCCTGCTTCCCCACCCTGGCCCACTCAGTCACGGAAGGGCGGAGGAGTGTGCTGGTGTCCCCAGCCTAGACCTTCCATTCACGTACCTCTTCACACACAGGCTGCCCAGCGCCAGGCCAGGCCTCTGTGAGACAGTGCCGCCCATGCCCGTACACCCAAATTGAACAAAGTTCCAACTCACAGGCTCGCTGAGGTGAGGTGAGGAGATGTCCGCCTCATCCCCCTTCTGCTGGAGGAAGCGAACACAGGTGAGCTGGCAATGGGAAGAGGCCTGTCTTCCTCCTGAGAGGCCCTCGAGGAGGCCTAGCCAGGGTCAGTGCTTCCTTCCCAGCACCCTCAGGGGTCCTGGAGAGCCTCCCGGCGTTAGGGGGTGGGGAGAGACTGCTGGCACGGAAACAGCAAGTTACCTGTGGTGGTGATCCTGGCAGAGGGGACTGTGGGCCACTGCACACATCCAGACCTGGAATAGTCCCCACACTGGTGAGTGGGGCCCAGCACCTGGGACCCTCAGCTATCCCAACACATCCCTCCCCAGAATAGCCCTTTGTAGAAGCCTTAGGATGCTTAGGACCAGAAACACCACCGTTTGTTGAGTGCCTCCCAGCCGCCCTTGCTGATCCCCACAGCAGCTATAAGAGGAAATTGAGGCCAAGGGACCTTGAAGTCACATGGGAAGGAAGTGGCAGTGCTGAGATGGGAAGCCAGGCTGTCCGGCTCGAGCTGAGCTTGCCCCACAGCACTGAGCCCCTTTCCCTTGCTGCTGTGGAAGAGAAGACATCAAAATGCAGAGTGGCCCAAATAAGAGGCCTTTCCAAATAAGAGGCCTGTAATGACTTCTCTCTGAGCCCTGGACGGGCCAAGACAGCCCATCGCAGCACCCTGCCCATAGCCTTGTCCAGGTCCTCAGCAGCCTGCCTCCCGCATCAACCCCGGACCCCAACAGTGTATCTGCCTCTTGTGGGGTGGCCTCTGCCAGGACTAGCTGGGAGCCCCCTGGGGAGGGACACAGCAGCAGCCTTCAACAAGAAGGCTGCAGGTGAGAAGGCGGCTGGCTAAGCAGCCACTCTCAGAGAGAGGCCAGGGTAGGAAGCACCAGGGTGACTTGGCCTCACCTGGTGGGGTGGGGACTGCCAGTGAGCTGCTCCTGGAGGACACAGGAGAGGCTCCGGGTCTGAGGCTCAGGGGGACAGCTGTGGAGACAGGCACAAATTGATTGGCATTCATGAGAGTTTGGCACTTCACTCACACAGAAACAGCCTTTTGGGTACTTCCTGTCCCTGGGACTGGATGTGCCTTGTCAGGGCCTGCTCTGGACTGTTACACAAAGCTCCTAGAGCCCAATCCCTCTCTTCTCCCAGCCAGCAGAGGTGGCCCTTGGGGTCATGAATGGGGAGTGTCACACTCCTCAGTCTACTGTGCCTGACCTCAGAGCACCTTCTAGAAACTGAAGACCTGGTGTTGCTTGGCAGGTAAAGAGCTAGGTCTGAAGATGCCCGATGGATAATTAAAGGAGGGATAAAGCTTAGTATCTGACTTCATTTTTGTTTCTGTTTCACTCATTACCTTGAAACTTTGGGTCAGATTCCTGCTCAACTCTCCATGTAAGCATATTAGTTATGTAAGGGGTTGTATAATACAAAGTTTATTAGCCCTCAATTTACCTAGCGTATCTCATTCTCCTTAAAGACTAAAGACACCGACTTAAGAGCAATTAAAGTAATTTTCGAGTTTTGCAGGGACCACTAATTACTGGTTTTTATACCAGTTCCAAACTCCCTAGAGCAATGCTTAGAAGTCTCCAGTCATTGTCCAAAACCTGTGAGCATTTTAGATTCCGGAAAAAGCAGAGCCTCACAATCCACTCCACGATGAGGTCACCCCCAAAGGGGAACTAATCCCTTCAAGGCAGGAATCAAGATTACCCCCATAAGCAAGAGCAAGCATATCACGAAGGGAACCGATCTGCCCTCACAAGAGATGCTGGCTGTCCCAGGATTCTTAGAGAACCAGTCCTGAGATATCAATCAACCAGACCAGGGTTACCTGCTCTGCTGGCTATGCAAACCCCCAACCTTTGTCTTTGTTCTCCTTTTCTATAAAACCCCAAGGTTTCTGTCAGTCCCTGGAAGACAGATCTTGAACTTCTTTGTCTGTGTTCCCAGGGTGGATATGCTCATTAAAGTCCCTTTCCTGCTCTTCACTGCTCATCTCCATGACTGGGGTCATGGCTCAGGTGGCCAAGACTGGTCTCTTGAGATGTCCAGAGGTGGAGCTTCTGCCCTGAAACACTGGTAACAGCTACACCTCCTAGATGTCCCAAGATGGCCCTGATTTCAAATATTCCTCTTGCTCTTAAGTCCTTAGACCTCAATATTTTGCTCAAGAGGAAAAGGGATTATAGCATCAGGACAGTGCAAGGGCCCAGGGGAACCTTCCCTCTAACCTATAGATTCCCCAAAGATTGCCTCCCTTCCCCAGAGTGCCTCTGTCCTTCCTAGGAGCAGCAGGGCCCAGGGCAGAGGCCCCACAACTTTGTCTTCTGGTCTTTACTGAGGAAAGGCCCACAGAGCAGCCACACAGGCTCCACCCACAAAGGGAGACCAGGAATCTATGCACAGGGGCCCCAGACAGACAATTCTTCTCCATTCAGGATTAAGGGAAGTGGAGGAGCGGGGGAGCTTGAGTTAAGTATCATATAGGCTGATGCTTATTGGCAAAACAGGAAGCCATGACACTCACACAAGGCCAAAAAGCAAGAGAATCTTGAGCTAGAGTTGCACATGCATTTTAGAGTCTCTGAAGCTGAGCAAGGACCCCACCATCACCAAGCTTAAACTTCTGCCACCTAGAGACCAGGGACAGCTGAGTCCAAGGATGCTGAAGCAGGAAGATCACACGTTTGAGCCCAGCCTGGGCAACCTAGCAACTTCGTGAGACCCTGTCTTAAAGTTAAAAACAAAAAAAGGTTTGCTGGGGATGTAACTCAATGCAAAGGCCCTGAGGTCAACCTCTAGTACAAAAAAAAAAAAAAGCCCACTCTTTAGGAAGCAAGGCTCCCACTGCAGTGAGAACTGGGCTTTCCCCTCCATCTAAGCCAAAGTTGCATCTCCTTAGAGCCACGGTGGGCAAACTTGAGTGTGCATGGAAGCCAGCAGAAGCTTCTTAGATCACAGCTACCCTGCAGGGCCCCAGGTAGCCTCCTGGACCTCCTGGCCCTGCCCTACCTGATGGGGAGTCTCCAGGGCTGCTCCTGGACTTCCTCCCGCGTCGGGTCAGGAATCGCTCACTCACCGACTTGGCTTCTTCCAACAGAGCCAGGTTTTTCTTCTTGTCCTCCTCTGAGATGCTGATGTCCGGCAACCGGTCATTTACCAGGTCAATGACGTGCCCCGCAGAGTCTGCAGAGCGAGGGTAAGCTCAGAGTGAGAGCCTCTGCCACCCCTTACTTTGGCCTAGAGCTTCTTCCCAGAGCTGACCGGGCCAGTAGAACCTCAGGGGTGTGCTGGTCGGTGGAGAGGGTCGTGCAGGGATGCACAGTGGCATCTTTGCATGCCTGGTCCCTCCAGGTTGCAGCCTGTGGCTGTGGCAAATGCTCTGTCACAGTGGTCATGAACCCAACTCGGGGCCCCAGCACTGTCCTAAACTCTGCTTTGAAAGTGGGCCATCCCTGGGCCCCATTTCCATGCTTTCTGATCCACCTGGTGTGTTCTTCCCACTGATCTCCTTTCCTTTAACCAGTGGGTAAGCTGAAGACAGGGGTAAGGCCAGCAGGCCAAGGGTCCTGGGCCACAGATGCAGTCCCGTGGCCGCTTTTGCCCTTCTTTCCTTCTCTCACATGCTCTATCCCATCCCTCTCCCAACGGTCCCTTCTCTGGCTGCCCATCTGGGTGAGCTGGGTGAGTGGCTCTGGCTCTCCCAGCGGCTCAGGAACACGGGAGTCACTCCACACACCCCCTCCTTCCTCGGGCCCCACTTCCAATCCCTGATCAAGTGCTGCTGTTTGTTTACCTCCTCTGCATTCCTGCTCTTTAGCTGTTACCTGGACAATGACATCAGCAGCCTAATGGATCCCTACCTTCAGGTCACTCCCTCTGTCCCATTTCCACTGCCTAAGGGAGTGACCGCTGTCCTGAGGGTGACATCCCAACTCTCAGCTGGGCTCAGCCAGGTTTTCAGGCCTGGCATATTCTCTCCGGGTCCCCTCGACACCAGCCCCTCTGTAGTGAGCCTCCTCCAGCTCCCCATCTTGCTCCCCAGCCTCTATTCCCTCTTCATCAGGTGAAACCCCACCCCTTGGTTCCCCTGCATATTAGTTAGGAAGGAGCTGACCACCCTCACTCACTATGGCACCCCAAGTACCATGTGTGAGAACATGTACCAGCATCGGCCAATCAATGAATTCAGTCCTGGTGGCATCAGCGGTTGGCTTGTGGTGGCCATGTGAGGCAATCTTGGGAATGGTATGGGGTATGAAGGAAACTTCTTTCCAGTAATGGGACAAAAGCTTGGTGTTAGTAGCTGTGTGTTACCACAAACAGAGGTCCTTCCCAGGAAGGAAACAAGCACACAAACAAAGGAGTCTTGAGACAGAAGGGGACAACAACCAATAACCCAAGTTGAGTACTGTACCTGGATCCAGTGGCTACCTGAAACCACAAGCCCTGGCTGCTATTCTTGTATTGTTATTTGGGGTAAGTGAGTGTGAATTGGCTCCCTAACATCCAAGAGTCCCGGCTCATACACACAGCGGAGCATTCAGTTGCCACCACCAGAGCTCTGTGTGGCTTCTGCTTCCCACTACATCTCTTCTTCCGCCTGCCAACTTTTCCTCCCTCTGTCTATCTGTCCAAGCACAGCTCCCCACCAGCCCAGCCCTTACCCACAGATGTCAGGGGCGTGGTGGAGACCTTCAGGTGTCGGTGAGAGAGCCTCCTGTGGGGACTGTGAGCTCTGAAAGGCAGAACAGAGTCCTCTCATCAGGAAACCATTTGATGCCAGTGTCACCCTTCAGTGTCATCCCAGAGCATTGCCTTATGAGCGTGTCCAGGAGTCCTCTGGCTTTCACACCAGGAGCTCGTTAGAAATGCAGATTCTCAGGCCCCACGCCAGACATCCTGGATCAGAAGCCCCGGGGAGTGGGCCCAGGGAGTTGAGATCTAAGAAGCTTCTGCTGGCTTCTGTGCACACTCAAGTTTACCCACCGTGGCTCTAAGGAGATGCAACTTTGACTAACAACAGTACTTAGGGCCCAAACTCTGAGCTAAGATCTGACTGGTACAAACCTCATAAAACAAGAAAAGCTAGAAATATGGTGGTGTTGCCCTGCAGAACATTAGCCATTCTATATCTAACTTAGTGACTTTATTCCAGCCTCCTTTTGCTCCCCACGGATTGCATACACACCTGTTTCTTATACCTTCTTTTGAATCCACTTTGTTGTCCTACTGCTTCCCTTGCTATCGAGTGAAGGTAAATCTTTGGCATGTGCTCACTATATGCGAATTATCTTTTCAACTTTTTGAAAATTGCACTTAGACAGTCTAATCCCAGCTAGACCAGTGCATGGGCTGTGCAGAGTGAAACTGTCAACTCACAGGACACCGTCTTCATCTTCCATACAGGACTCACTTTGGCCAGGGGCGGGATTCTGCCGCAAAGGACCCATGCTTTTATGGTGAGAAAATTCCCTGTTATGGTTTGTGCTTTCTTTCTTTCTTTCTTTCTTTCTTTCTTTCTTTCTTTCTTTCTTTCTTTCTTTTTTTTTGTACCAGAGATCGAACTCGGGTCCTTGTGCTTTCAAGGCAGGCAGCAGCATCACTGAGCTAAATCCCTGGCCCAGTTTGTGCTTTCTTTAAAAGCTCACAAAGTACTAAGAGCCAAATTCAGAAGAAAAATCATTTTGGAAAAATCTTAATCTCCCTTTCCCATTTTGAAAAACTGTTTGGTAATATTTCATCAATAAAGTGGTGCAAGAAAGAAGAAAAGATTTATAAAAAGTCTAGCTTTCTGAGCCCAATATTCTAGGAAAAATTGCCCATCATAGCACAAGGATCAGGCACCTGGGCCGCATACCTGTTGGCCAGGGAACTGTCGGCCTCTCCTGGTGAACTGGCATCCCCGGTCAGGACGATTATGGGCGGGCTGTGGAATATTTCTGCAGAGGAGGGAGGGTCCTAGGAATTTAGAACACAAAAGGCAGATGGGGTTAGGCCCGTGCTGGAGGGAGCAGCAGTGGTCACCCTAGCACCATGATGCTCAGGCAGGGATCAGACTCAGGACCTTAGCTTTCAAGGCAGGAGGCAGCAACACTGAGCTAAATCCCCAGCCTCAAAATTGTACATTTTCAAGGTGTACTATGCGACACTCTGATAGGCATAGGCATTTAAAAATGACTATCGTAATTAACATATACACCATCTCGGTTAACTGTGTGTTTGTGTGTGATAAGAATACTTAGGGAGCTTCAGGCATAGAGGACTTTCGTTACTAACTCTAGTCACGCTGCTGTACATTAGACCTCGAGAACTCACTCATCTTACAGCTGCAGGTTATTCACTGACCAACTTCTCCCTATTTCCTTCACTTCCTGATCCCTGGTAGCCGCCATTTTAATCTCTGTTTCCCCAAATTCAACCTTTTGACGTTCTACATATGAGATCATGTACTATTTATCTTTTTTGTGTCTGGCTTAGTTCACTTAGCATAGCGTCCTCTAGGTGCAACCACGTGGTTGCATGTGGCAGGATTTCATCATTTTCAGAGGCTAACCAATACTCCAGTGGGCGTGTGCATATATACGTTTTTCATGTTTTCTTTATACGTCCCCCAGTACACATTTAGGCCATTTCCATATCTTGGTAATCGTGAATAATGCATGAGTGCAGTTTATTTGGGTGAGTTAGAAAAGAAAAGATGGGCAGTGTCTCCTTCATTTGCCAGCAGCCACGCCCCAGTGTGGCACAAACCACTGCGTGTGAGGACTGGAGCACCACATGCCCTCCCCTTTCAGTCTCACAAGTGACGCAGAAAAAATAGCTCAGAGCCCTCAGACTGGCCAGAAAAAATGAAAGCCAAAAGGGAAGGTGGCAGCACCCATGTGCTCCTGGCATTCAGTGACAGCCTTGCCTTTGAGTAGTTTTGACATTTTGGTACAGGTGATTTGTGTAATGAGTGCTGGGCTGCAGTTCCATTTTTCTTACGATGTAGAAATGCTTCTCTGTACACAGGTACATTTCCGAAACTGGAACAAAGTTATCGACTAGTTCTTGGTGTTTTGAGGTATTACTTCACAAGTACTTAGCAAATAACAGCAAGAAAAGTCTCACACCCTAGATCCGTGCCTTCGTACGCGCGTGCTGTTGATAGTCCTGTGAGGTATGAAACCGCGTCAGGGGTATAATAGACATGCGCTGAGTGAATAGACGAGTGAATGAAACCAAAGCAATGTGGGGTCTACAATAAGATCCATAAAGATGCACCGTGGCCTAAGCCCTCTCAGGCCCTTTGAGAGTGGGCCAGGGGTAAACATAGGGCCACATTAATAGTCACACAGTGTCTCCCTCGTTCTTGCTACTGTAACATTTTCTTCTCAATATTGTCCCCAGTTTGTCTGGGGGCCTCTCTGGGCATTTTCTCCCATGTCCCTTCATCCTGTTACGATGCTTAAGATGATGCTTTCCTCTTTCCTTCTCCTCCTTCTTGTCTCCTTGGCTGGTGTGTGCTTCCAGGCCCCTTTGTGAACATGCTCTTCTAGCCCATGCCACCAGCCTGTCCCCTAATGCTTCAAGCTTGCCACCACCCCCTCCCCCTGCTGGGCCTGCTTCCTGCACTGTCAGGAAAGTGGGTTTCAGGTGTCCCCGTGGTAACTGTCCTGGCGGCAGAGCCCTGCTGGAGCCCCTGGCCATCAAGTGTTCTTACTCCCCCTGACCTCTCTGCAGCAGTGGCCTGAGGTTTGCTGGCTGCAGAGCCCAGACTGGGCCTTGCTCCTGAGCCCTCCGGGCATAGGTGTTAGATCTCTGCAAGGCGGGAGGAACCTGTTTCCTTTTCCCATTATACTTTCTTATTTATTAAGTGGGTCCTGAAGAGTGCTGTCTGAACTTCTTAAATCCCATAGCTGTATAAAGCCAGATCTTCTCATTTTCATTTGCATCTTCCCTTTCCCTCCTCAAGTACAAGGTGACAAGAGCTAGAGACATCTCCAAGGGAGATTCTACCCAGGAAACACCGTGTGGTCTCCTTTGCAGAAAAAAAGGCTTTTAGTTGGAAGCTCAAAAGCAGATCACTGAGGAGCCCTTACTTGGGCTCTGTGTTCTTCTCCAGGACCTCATGAGTGCAGGGAACTACAGTGGTTGGAGAGGGGGGTTATTCAGAATCTCCCAGCATATGAAATGGAAGTATTTTTGCAGAGAGTTAACTGGGCAGGAGAGGTAGAAGCAGCATTGTCTACTGGAAGAGAGATGAACCAGGGTCAAATTCCTGCCCATCACCTATGAGCTGTGTGTCCTTGGGTAAGTTATTGGGCCCATGGTCATAAAATCTAACACACAAGGCTGGTATGAAGATTAAAATAACATCCATAAAATACCTAGCTCTTGATTAATACTTTCAATAAATGACTGTTTTAGTGTTAGATTACTTGTTTGTCATCCAACAAACTTTTAGTTGCCACCATATGCCAGAAGCGGCTTGAGATGAAAAGAGAAGATCCTTAAGGATTCCTAGTCAAGCAAAGGATACAGGAAAGCAACATTCCACTAATCAACATAAAATGATAGGGGATGGAACTCATTCTGTGTAAGCTCAGAAGAAAGAAAAGAAAATTTGATAGTGAGGGAAACCGGAGAAGGCTCTATTTGGGGAGGGATATTTAAACTATGGGTCATGAGGGATGAGCAGAGGCTTGCAAAACAAAGATAGTAGGTAGAGGTTTGGGGCAAAGGAAATAGCTTTATCAAAAGGCATAACTAGGAATTAGGTGTTAGGAGCATGGATTACAGGGTATGCGAGCTAGGACATGCCAGGAGTGAGGGGGTGGAATAAGAGGTTGAGCCGGCTTTTGAAGGATTTTGCTTGCTACTGAGTTTAGTCCTTGTGGTTCCAAAACAGGGAATCCTGAAAGTTAGGCATGGCAATAACTTGACTGTGCAAACAGTAAGCACAGAGATATTGACAGCAGTTCCATTCACAAGTCCCCAGGATTCACACCGGCTGAGACAATGGAAGAGGTCACGTTATTACAACATCCATTCTTCCCTATAGGCATTAATGCTGGCACTGCACCCAAGACCGGCCAACCTGCCTTCATGACCGCAGAGCTCCAGTCCTTCTGGGAGCACAGATCTCACGCTTCAGTCAACGCCCAGGGATTTTACCTACGAGCAACAGTGTTCTTTAAACACTGTCAGCTTGATGGGCTGCTGAGGAACTGGCCATTGGCTTTGTCCTCTTGTCACACTATCCTTCGACTCCCCAAACAGTGGCCAAAGGCTTGCTCTGTCTCAGAAGGTTGTGTCAATGGAATGAAAGGGTGGATGTATCCGCACTTTCACAAGTGTCACCTGGGCTTTCACTGGATCCCCCTATAAAAAGCCACTGAGCAGCAGGGAGGCTGGGGAGCTCCCCAGGGAAGAGCAGGGAAGCAGGAGGGTTTTGGATCGTGATGTAGGAGCGGAGGACATCCAGGAAGAGGCCAAGGCCCAGAAGGGGAAGCAGTGTCGACATGTTACCTGGCAGGACGAGGTGGCAGGGTCAGGGGTAGAGTCACGATGAAAGAAAGCCTGAGAAGAGGCAGGAGTGGGGGGTCTACTGCATGGACTTGGGTGAGCAGGAAGGGCTGGAGTTTTCTCATAGTCTTCTCTGTACCTCATTGAAAAGCATCTGGCTGGAGCGGTCTCTCCAAGGTCAATTAAGGAATGCGCATCCTGTGAGGCACTGCCTCTGAGCTCAAAAGTGTCATCTACAGACCCCCATGGGCCTTTTGTCTAGGAGTGGTGTTTACAAGCTTTAGTTTTGTTTTGTTTTGGGTACTGGGGATCAAGCTCCGAACCTTGCAGTTGCGAGGCAGGTGGTGGAAGCACTGAGTTAAATATTCGACCCTTCAAGTTTTTAATTACCAACATTTCATAGCTGAAAGAATTTTCATGAAGGTGTAGATGCCCTACTTTTCTCTAAACTGAAATATCAAGCAGGCTCAGGTCCACATTTCTGCAGAGTAACCCTTGGTTTAATTCACCCTAAACTGGCCCACTTCCGTCATTTAGGGCACCTGGCCCAGAAGGCATCTGAGTTATGATCCCTGTGCCGAGTGATTCTTATCCTGGCCTGGTTTTCTGCGATGCAGCTGGTGTGTGCTTAAGCTCTAGCCAGTCTTGTCATCTTGGTGGCTCATCTGTGACATGCCACAGGAGGGCCAGGCTAAACTCACACTTGCTCTCGGTATGTGTGGGACTCCTTCCCTGGGTGGATTCTCTCCCGACTGCAAATGAGCTTTAAAATCTGCCTTTTTCTTGTCAGCCATACTTGGAGCATTTCTTTCTTTTATGAGTCCTCTGATGAATAAGAAGAAATGCATATTTGCATTTTCATATGTGCCACATCATGTGATTTCTGTCATTCCTGAAGTGAGGTCTGCATAATTCTCAGTGTGCACCGATGTAAATGGGCTGCATCTATTTAATGGCGGATTTGGTCCAACCATGAATTAACTTCTTCATGCCCTGTTTCAAAATGCAACTGTGCTGGTAGTGGAGAGTATATATCCATTTCCAAGGATTTACTGTGCCAGTCTTCAAAGCAAAAAGAATATGGATTTTATTTTCATTGATTAACATACTTCCTACTTGCCAGAGCAGCTTGAAAAAAATCAACAGTAGAGTGTAAGATATAAAAACACGAGACCAAAAAATAAGGAAGCAATTGAGTAAATATAAATATCCACAGCAAAGCAAAACACTTGTTCTTTCTACTCATCTGTGGTCCGGCTCTGAAATTAAACTGCTGGACCTGAAGCCCAGTGAATCTGTGATCCACGTGGCCCAGGCTCTGAGGAGGACTGTTTCAGAGAACTGTTCCACACACAGGCCAAAACCCAACGGAGAAGGACCTCCATTCCACTCTCTTGCCTCTCAAAGGGCCCGAAAGGGGAACAAATCTTAACCTCTATCCTTACCTCTCC